TTTATGTAAATGATTATAACTACTTTTCATGATCTATGCAAATCCATGGCTATACCTCAAACCAGTCTCTCATTTAATTTTGCTGACATTTTATCTTAGGAAAAAATGGTCTCTATCTTTTTACAACGGTAAAACCACTGTAGGGATTGCTCACTACTCATCTGTGGTTCCACAGTGCTTAGGACAATGCCTGTTACTTGGTCATTTTTCAATCCATATTTATTTAAGGAATGAGTGCATGGAAGGAAAGAAGGAAGAAAGGAGGGAATGAGGAAGGAGAAAGAAAAGGAAAGAAAAGGGAAAGAAATGAAGGAAAAGGAATAGGAACAGAAAGAAAGAGAAGTAATTTAATCAAGACTCAGAAATAGAAACATGTATCATTCAAGAAGAATTAACATGAAAATCAACTTGTAAAAGGAGTTGATTTATTGAATATAAGTATATATGCCATAAAATTATATTTTGTTAATTATCTTTTGCATATATAAATCTCCAAAGGGACTATATTTTTTATTTATTTTCTTTACATAAATCTGTCAATGTTTACAGAATTGAATAGTATTATTTTTTTTCAGTGATTAAGTCCATAAGAAAACATGGTATTTAATAGAACACTCAACAAAAATAAATGACAGAGTAATGAATTACTTATTTAATTACTATAGGTTGAGCACCCTTTATTCAAAAACCCATAATCTACAATAGTTCAAAACCAAAATTTTTGAGCACCTACATGACACCACAAGTGGAAAATTCCACACCTGACCTCATGTGATGGGTCACAGTCAAAATGCAGGAACATAACACACAATTTCTTCAGCATCCTCAAGGGAAAAATAAAATTACCTTCAGGTTATGTGTATAAGATGTATATGAAACATAAATAACTTTTGTTTTTAGACTTGGGATTCATCTGCAACGTATCTTATTATACAGATACAGACATTCTAAAATCTGAAAAAATCAGAAATCTGAAATCCTCTGGTCCCAAGAATTTCTAATAAAGGTTACTCAATCTGTATAATAATTTGTAGACTGATACTTACCAGGATATCTTTTCCAGCCCACTTGCATTCATCTCTTCTGGTGTAGGATACTGGCCACACAATCTATGGACAAAGACGAAACATTGTTTTATGCCAATTAAGTTCTCTAAGAGATTCAATACTATATAGTCCTTTAGATGAGGTTGGGACAACTGAAGTAATGTAAGTTCCATAAAGCATTATGTGGCAGGAACCTTTCATTTTAGACTTTCCAGTGGCATTATCATGGACTTGAGTCATTCATTCTCCATCTACCCAGTTGGCCTTTGTTGTATGTAAAGTAGAGAGAGAGGCATTGATGTAGACAATAGATCTAAGCAGTGTAGGGTGGAAAGAACTGCGACACAAGTTGAGAGACAGATCATCTTGAGAAAATGTGAGAATTTAATGAAGAGAGGTAAAAATTGTCATAGAACATGGCTCATAGTTTTCTAAATTAGTCTTTATTATGAAATAGTGATTCTGAAATTTTAACATTTGTGTATTCTGGATCTATTTCCCTGATCCAAATCTCAGTATGATGATATGCTAGACTAAGCAACTGAAAGCGCTAGAAAAACCCATCTTAGAAAGGAATCTTTTCTTTTCGTTTTTTTTTTTTTTTTTAACAGGGAAAATAGTTAAAAGTAGCATTGTATATTTTTGAGATATAAAGGTAGATTGAAAAGGCAAATAGCTCTAAAAAATCACCCTCTCCAATGTGGGCTAAATGTAGACTAGTTTAGAAATAATTGTTTATGTTTTCATTCTTAATATTTGTTTTTCATCCTTCCAATGAATCCCATATCGTGTGAATACAGTGACAGTGGTAGATGAGCCAAGATGTTAGTGGTGGCTTGGAGGACAGTGGATGCATTTCCCTAGATAATATTAATACAAATCTCTCATCTAAATTTTAATATAAAATCCCCCAAGCAATTCCAATGACTCCTAACTATGTCGGGCAGAATAATTTATTGCTGTTTTACTCATTTTTCCCTTCTAGTAATATTAGTTAATTTCAGGGGAAACATGTCATATATAAAAGAAAAATCCAGAAATGGTGGCAATTAATCATTCGTGTCTGCTGGAAAGCTTTTAGTCTCAAGACTGATTATCATTCATTTAGGAACCTCTAGATAATTCAATGTAAATGGTCATAAACTTGGGCAAAGGCTGTTATATTCAATCTAGGGAATTAAAAACAAAATATAACACAAGTATAAATAAGAATTTGGTACATATTGAAATGACATATGATGACTTTATAAATGCATTTCAGGTCCACGTCAAAATTATAAAAGCTCTAAAAATTCTTGGATATACATTCATTTTTGCCATTAAGCTCTTAATTTGAGTATTCTTTTTGTTACATGTGCTTTCTTTTTCACATATATCTTTTTACAAAGTAGTCATATGAAAGCATTCCAGATCAGTAAATCTATCACCCTTACAATTAACATTACCCTAACTCCTGAATTTCTAGAGCAATTACTGGGCAGTCCAATTCTACAGTTCTATCTTCACATTGGCTATTGGAAAGGCTAGGTAATCTATT